TATATGGAAATGGCCTTGTAACCCTCCCCAGGTTGATGGGCAGCAACAATTGTTTCACTAAGTTCACTTCTGATCTTTTTCTGGGCGTTGTGTTAACACACATCTGAAAAAGCTTTTATAGAGGCAGTTGATACGCTCAACCTAGATGCTTTTTACCCTCCCGATGTCTATGGAAGCACTGAGGTTGCACTTATTTGTTTCACACACTGCTTTTGCATTTTGGCTTATTAAATAATGTAAAAATTTAAGACCCAGGTGGGCCAGGTGACTTTTTTTTTTGGATGTTTTGATACATAAAGTGCAATCAAAGCATCTCATTCTGTTTACTCAACATATGCACAGATGCAGACCAAAGATGACTATCAGGTCACATGACCACATATGTTTCATTTATTTAAAAGGTTATCTGATCTTTCAAAAGCACAGCAACCTTGTGACCAATGACGCCCAACTGAGGACAAGGAGAGGCTGATGCAGTCACCGGATCAGCGTTACACAAGTTCAATCAGCACTTCGAAACATTACATAACTCACGAGAACACATTACATAAACTCTGATCTCTTGTATGATCTATGAATGCGGAAATGTGAGTGACGTGTGCAACACAACGAACTGATCAGAAGTCTATCAAGCAGACACGTTCAAACTATTGCTAATTATCCAAACTTCTGTTCTTTAATACCTGCATCTATTTGTTTTTCTTCTCAGTTGCTCTTTTCTGAAGAATTTGTGACTGCTACTGTTTTTATGTTTAACAAGTGAGCCTTATCCTCTCACAAATATCTCTTTATTGTCATTGTATATGTACAGTGAATTTGTGAGTGTTCCACAGCAACTGTGCAGGAATAAAATATAAATAGTAATACAGAAGGAATAAATAGCAAACCACAGGAATAAATGTATATGTACAAAACAATAGGAATATACACAAAACAATAGAAAAGCCACACATTAAAAGGAAAGGGTTGCGAAGTGCTTGGAATTAGTGCGAAGAAATGACTTGATCTGAATGGACACATGCAGGTGGTGCAGGTGCTGCTGTGCCTTCTTTACCAGGGCCACGGTGTTGCCATGATGCCATGAGGAGTTCTTTCATTTTGCGGACGTTTAGCTTCAGGCCATTTTCTGAGCACCAGCAGGACAAATTCTCTACCTCCACCTTGTATGCTGTCTCATCTCCATCAGAGATGGGCCCAAATACGATGGTGTCATCGGCATACTTGAAGGTGGTGTTGGTTGGTTGGATTGGTGTACAGTCATATGTGTGCAGGGCAAACTGCAGGGGGCTGAGAATGCAACCCTGTGAGGATCCAGTGCTGAGTGACAGTTGGTGAGGAAATCAAAGCAGCAGAGATGCTGAAAGTTGCTGAAAGCTTTTGAGAATGTAAAATGTCACCGACCGGGGATGCAGGTGCTGCAGGTCCTCATTCAGTGAGACAATGGCAAAGACTCGTCATCTAATGTGGGTGTTTGTCTAAACTGCCATTTTTGGTGTCAGATCACTGCTGAATAATGGCGATATGTTGTTTTTCATGAAGAACTGTGCATGTGAAGCTTTATGTTGGTATCTGGGGACTTTCATTGACAATTATGTAACTATTTTTCCACGGCTGCTTCAGATCTTTTGATAACTTTTGTGCTACACAGATGTTAGATAGTGAACATGCCTCACATTACATAATTGACAGAACACTGTGTAGTTTCTGTGCAGACCTGTCTCAGGTGACACTAACAACACAGGGGGTTCTGCAGTCCTGCCAAACTGCCGCTCTTCATATCAGTCTAAATTGATGTATTTCTAAATGGCAAATTAGCACATTTAATAAGGTAGAGTAACAGAGACAAAACTATTTTATATTTCACTCAGTCACTAGGTAGAGCTTGCTAGTACTGGATTGAACCCCATTTTCAGATTCAGATAACTTTATTAATCCCAAAGAAAGGCAATTTGCTTGGAGGTTACCTGCACAACTTACTCACACAATCTAGAGTCCTTAAACACCAAGCAATAACTACTGTAGCATGTCAAGGCAAAGCTCAACAAACAATAATGTTTAAAAAAGAATAAAAATTAACAAAACAATAATTAAATAGAATAACAAGAACTAAAATTGAACAAAGAAGGTGTTATAGCCGAGGGAATGAAGGATTTTTAGCATTTCTTTGTTCTACACTAGAGTACAAGGAAGCAGTGATCTGAGAGCAGCTTCCTGAACTCAGATGACACACATGGTCAGGATGCAATAATAATGTGTTTTTATGAGAAGGTGTTAGCAGATGCTGTTGGAGGTTTTACCCTGAACAGGCAGATGAAATAAAATGTTAAAAGCCTTTCAATAAACTGAACAATAAAAATGACAGAACTGCTTTAATCAAAGATAGCATAGATTCAACAGGGAGCATTCCTTTTGAGACTTTGGCCCATATTAAGATGATACCATCACATAGTTGCTGCAGATTGGTCAGCTGCACATTCATAATGGGAATATCCTGTTCCACCACATCCCTAAGGTGCTCAGTTGGAGTGATATAATCAGCCATCAGAAGATTGGTGAACTGTAGGGCTATGGGTTTAAAAACGATCCTCGTTTGGTATCCAAAAGGGATCCAATTTGTGTCAAGAAACGATCCCCCACACCATCGCACCACCATCAGCAGCCTGAACTGTTGATACAAAGCAGTATGGATTCATGCTTTCATGTTGTTTACACTAAATTGTGACCCTGCCAGCTGAATGTTGCAACAGCAACACCTGGTGTGGTTTTCTGCTGCTCTAGCCCATCTGCTTCAGAGTTTGACATTCAGAGATGCTCTTCTGCATACTTGGCTTTATCTGACTTACTTTTTCCTTCTGATCAGCTCAAACCAGTCTTGCCATTCATCTCTGACCTCTGTCATAAAAATATTTTTATGCAGAGAACTGCCACTCAGTGTATGTTTTCTCTTTTTTAGGCCATTCTCTGTAAAACCCACAGGTGGCTGGGTAGATCAGCAGTTTCTGAATTACTGAATTACAGTCTAGCAGCAACAACTATGCCATGTTCAAAGTCACTTAAATCACCTTCCTTCTTCTTTTTGTTGCTTATTTTGAACATTGGCAGATCATCTTGACCATGTCTAAATGCCTGCATGCAGATGCTGCTATATAATTGGGTGACTAGATATTTTCTTCAAATTGCAGCTGAACAGGCGTACCTAATAATGTGGTGTAAAGATTCTGTTTTGGTAAGCAAATACATTTTTGTGCATGCCATGTTAACAGTACATTAAAATAAAAAGATTTTAATGTTCAGATCATGCCGTGCAATTACACTGACAAACACCCATTTGTCATCTAAAAGACACCCGGAAATGTTGTGGAAACATTCAGTAGATCAGATGAGCAAGAGCAGTCATTTCAGATCACAGTAATCATGTTCCACATCAGATAAAATTATGTAATTACAAAGTCACGAGGGCTGTTTTTCAAAACCTGCATCACAAACACGCTCAGTCACCTCTAGATAGTTTCACTTTATGTAGAGTAACTCATTCCAGTAGTAGTTACTTTTGCAAAATCTTTAGACAAAAGCGAAGAAAAGAAATGACAAACAAACAACTGTTAAAATACTAAGCCGATTGAGACTGCACAAGATTTTTTTTAAAGTGACAGTGCGATCACGCCATGATGTAAAACATTACTTTGAAATCACAAATATTTAACAGAAAACAATCCAGTCAAATCTTCCTGAGATGGTTTTGTTCGTCTCATATTTGGCTCCACTGAATTTGAGATAAGGGACTTGGCACTTTTGTTATCAGTGTTCTGGACCGACTGCTGAAAGGATCCGAGTAGGCATACATACCTACAGCTATCCGATGTTTTTTTAAGAACTATCTTTATTTTTGATCTCACATTCTTGGCTCGAGGAAGAACGCACCAGAAGCTTCTAGAAAGATTAAAGTTACAGAATCTCAGGTTAAACGAAAGTACACCCTCAATAAATTGCAGGGTTTTACTATCAAAACAAAAATAATACTACAAAAGTACAATTAAATTAAAAAAAATGTAATTAGGTAAATACAATCTCAAGCAAGTGTAAACACAGGAGTGGTATAGCCTTACTACTTCCATAGGAATTAAGAAGGTTAAGTAGCAGACAGTTTATTCTTTTAGAAAAAGGCTGTTTTGGAAGGGTTGCCATGAGAATGCATTTTCTCTCTAAAAAGAAATCTCATCATCACAGAACCATGTCCTTTGGACAGATGAGACCGTGTTTGGTGAAGACGAAACGCACCATATCTGCAACTATCAAGCATGGATCTGGAGACCTTGGACGTGGTCACCTTGGAGTTGACCATGAGCTCCTCTTCCTATCAAAGTATTCCAGAGTCAAATGCAAGGTCATTTGTCTGACAGCTGAAGCTTAAGACTTGCCAAGGACCAGGTTATTTTTCTCATATTCTGATATGTAAAACTTTAGAAATAACTGAGGACATACTTCTCTTTACCTTGACTGTAGTTTGAAATACTACTTAAATTTTGCGACCTTACTCATAAAAAGTGTCGTAAAAGTGATCCATGGTGGTAAATAACTTCCTCATTGGAAGTTATTTACCACCATGGATCAGTTTTACGACACTTTTTATGAGTGTGTCCACCTTTTTCTGTTATATTTTGCAGCTGACTTTTCCCCTCCCTTTTTTCCCCCTCATAAGGACATTAATAAACCACCTTCAATTAGTCTAGTCTTAATAGTGTCAGGAAATTAATAATTTACTTATTTATTGCTTTGACTGGCCCAACCAGCAATCCTACATGGGTTTTGCATTAACAGATTTGCATTAACAGACATTTTACCAGGGTTATAACCAGTTGCACCAGTACCTCTGTCATTTAAATCACGTGTAAGTGCAACATGCTGCGTCCTCAGATCAATGGAGATTTTACTGTCCAAGTACAACAGTCCAACACAGGAACTGCAAGCTTCATTAAGCTCTGGAATGCTTAAAGCTCATTATGTAACCCAATTACATAAGCAGACACGAGATAACAGCAAATCCACAAATCTGCCGTGAACCCTGGAGATCAGCGTAGCCTTTACTTGCTCTGAAACTAACATTAATGTGGATATTTAACTTAAACCTAGATAACTCCATTAAACTTTAAGAGAGCAGAGGAAGTGCTTTGTGATAAGAGAGTAGTTCTTATCACGAAACGCTGGAGTACAGCTCAAACTGATCAAACACACTACTCTAAAAAGCTGAACTCCAACAACTGTTGTATGAAAAACAGCTTTTTTATGTCTGCATAGATTTTCAGTCATCTAGATCATTGTAGTCTTAACAGCTTGAAATGAAGGTGGGTGAACTTCTTTACATTATATTAAAAAAGGAGAAAAATAACTAAGAAGTCCTTCTTTTTAACAGCTTCGTTACTTGACCAATGTATTTAGCCAGTTGGGGATTGACCGATGCAAAACCTGAGTATATTTGATGTGACTTTAGGGCGTTTTTTTCTGTTTTTATTAAGCACTGAATGAAACACACACACACACACACACCAGGTTTTTAGTTAAAAAAAAGGTCTTTTAAATATATAAAACCACACATATTTGTATAAACTTTGCAAAGAACCACCAGAATATTGAAACATACATTATCTCTGAATGAAATTTACCGCATATTTACTCATACATTACTCATACATAAATCTAGCTTTAAAGATAATCAGTGAGCGTGACCTCGATCAAATCATTTTCCGTGTTTCTTTCATCTCCAGGTCCCTCGGCTGTCTAAGGTACTTCAACTTCCGTCGAGTCATTTTTAACCTCTTGAGCCTCATTTTCTGTTTTCCCTTGCTCCATTCTTTCTAGCTCTATCTTAAGTTGCTCTTTCTCGTTCATTATCACTTCTTCCTCAACAGCTCTCTGCTGCTCCTCTCTCTCTTTCCTCTCTTTTTCAGCCTTTTCCATCTTTTCCTGCTTCTTCAGCTTCCAGAAGAATCTCAGGTTTTTCTCAGGGTACGTCACTTTGGCCAGTGGCAGCTTAAAGATTCTTTCGGTCCCCGTGGTTAAGAGAAGGAAAGTCAGGGCAGACAGGCAGAAAGGCCAGGTGCAGGCTGGAAGACCAAACTGTGGATTAAAAAAAAAAAAAACCAGTTGTGAAACATATTTTAATGTTTTTTTTAACAGTTTTTATAAAAATAGGAGTGAGAATAAAATGTACTTACCCTGGACATGATGTTGGCGATGGCTGAGCCAAGGTATGCACAGAAAAAAGCTGCAGAGGAGGAGTGAAAAATTGTTTGATGTAAATGATAAAGTGTGATTACAAATATAACAGCCTTTGTTTGGTAAGGTTGCACATGGTTGCTTGTCATTTGGCCTTATTTTGCAGATAAGAGAATGCATTTTTGTAATTTTTTTTTACTCACCACATGTGATAGCAAGCAGATGCACTTGCCAGGTGAGAGCATAAAACATTCCTCCAATAGCGATGCAGGCTAACACACAGTTGTACCCCCAGAGGCCAAAGTAAATGTCTCCAAACGGAGCCGCCAGGGCCAGACCTGCAAAATATTTAGTTACTGTTACCAGAGAAGAGTTCACCCAAAGATTGGTTTATCTTAGTAAATTAAAACCCTCCTGATCATTTTGCACCAGCATTTTTTTTTTGCAGGCCATCTTGGAGTTACTATACACTGATAGTGTCTAGATTTCATTCCTTCAATATGTAAAAAAAACCCCAAAAATTATGCCTTAATAGAGTGAAACCCAACAAGTTTTACATGGCATGTCCTTTTTTTTACAATATCGGCTGCCTGGTTAGACACTGTGACATCCTCTCACCTGAAACCATTCCCACTGCAGATCCCAGGACAGCATGAGCACAGGTGATGGGGGAGGAGATAAAGAGGGAGATGATGAAGATGCCTCCAGTCCAAGGGTTGTCACAGCCATAGACCTGGCCTATTCCTACTGGCACTGACATGAAGAGCTGAAAGTGTACAGGCAGAAATGTAAAGCCCACTTTATTGGATGTGCAGCTGTATTTAACTTGTGAACAACTTAAAGTTGCATATATAGTTAACAACATAGGTCCACATTATTTTAACCTGTTAGCTGAAAGCATGTGCTAAAACCTCGGCTACAAGACCATGACTTCTGAAGTTAAAAAGGCTGCGAAACCTGCATGTTATCATTTCCTTTCAGCTACCTTTGCTACGTCAAGCTCAGCCCACGTGATGTTGGGCAGCTCCGAGCGTGGCTGAATGAGGACTTGAGGGAAGTAGTTATTGTAGTGGCCAGTGGCGACCATGTGGAGACACACCAGGATGTTAAAGGGCAGGGTGAAAACAGGAAGATCCCAACGACTGTTGATAGATGCCAGGGCGCTGGACACAATGGGGCTGGACATGAAAAGGCATCACATCAGAAATCTGCTCCACATTTAACTCACATTTACAAAATGACCCAAGTACATCTATGTTCAATCACACCGGTCTGCGCTAATGTTAAAATCACGGAAAGGCAGCGTAAATAACACCTGTATTGTTCTTCTGGAAAAACCTTGGGTCCTGGCCTTCATACCGCCCACCAAAATATTGTTGTAGATGGAGCACACCCTGACAGGAACACCCTCTCACTGCAGAACAATGCACCCCACTGCATTATAGAAACTACTCAGGAATGCTTTGAAGAGTTTGACAAAGATTTTGCACTCTGATCAAACGTGATGCCCTGGAACAAGCCCGATCCATAATACCAGGGAGTGCTCTTAATATCCCAGTGCTAAATACTACAGGAGGCACCCAGACATCCTTATTGTTATGACTCATCAATGTAGATCAATCATTCTTTTTACACATTTCCAGCTTTTAGGAGCAGAGATGACAGATCTGTATATGACTGATATGGTCTCTTTTGTCTACTTAACTACAGCAAATAATTTGTATTATTTATTTATTCATTCATTTGTTTGCTTTTATTACAATGTCTCAGAACAATACGTAACCTATTATGACACAGAAAATGACAACTGATGGCATTCATGATTCATGATTGGCTTATCTACTTTTCTTTATCTACCTTTCACTTTTTATGATGCAAACCTAGTGCACAGTTTCCCCATTTCTCAGTCTTACCACATCATGGACATAAAGATGTTCGGCAGAAGAAGCCACCAGTACCAGTTTCCTGCGTTAGAGAACACGGCCATCAGCAGACCCACCAGTATCCCGTTGTAGCCGTACAGCCCTGCAGCTATTGCACCCCTGAAGGAAAGTTTTTTGAATCAATTTTTTTTTCTAGCTCAAGCCAAATGATAAATTTTCTTTTACTGCCAAGCAGATAATCATCAAGAATGACTTCTCGGCCCGCCTTCTGGCATTAAGACTGACAGTATTTAAAGATAGCATCAGTTAGGGGGGGAAAAAAACACCTGAGTGCTCACACCTGTTCTGTTGCAATAGGAGAGCGGAAATGGTTGCAAAGAGCGTGCCCACAAAGCCATTTAGGGCCCACCAGTAGTTCTGCAGGATGAGGCCGGCAAAAATGACAAGGCCACTCAGGGGGTTGTTGACAAACATCACCTGGGCCGCGCCGCGCAAGACCCAATCCAGCAGCCGCAGCAGGAAGAACTGCTCTGAAAGATGCGACAGTGAGAGATATTTGACTGCCAGCAAACACTTCACATCTTCAAAGGCTAACATAATCATCTTCTTCTATGCAAACTCTCACATGTATGGAGGGAAATAGTTACACATTGTCTGTAGTTACACATTAAACTCGATAGTGCTGCTTGTCTCAAGGGCACATTTTCAAGTTCCCGTCATGATTTTTGTCACTGCTGGGGAATACAGTCATACATGGAATTTCATGGTAGTGCTTTATTGATGTTTTCTGATTTAAGTACTTCAGTTATGCCAGTTGGTATTTTTCACTATTTTAGAAGCTAACTGGGTAATCCTACCAGTTTCAACACCCACACGCTGATTAACTGACTCATGCACGCTCCTATGAAAAGGCGGCATTAGCAGTGAGAAAGTTTTTTACAAAATAGCATGACCAATTTTTTTTTTACTTAACACAACTATCTTATGTCCCAGGTTGTTATACCACCTGCACTGTTGGCAAAACTACTTTCTATTTAGTTCCAAACTTTAAATTTGAAGTAAGCTGCTGATGTTAACCTACTTTCCATCCATTTTCCAAACACCTCCATGTCTCCAGAGAAGTAGGACACTCCTTTGAGGAAACGGGCCCTGGCTTTCTGCAGGGCTGCTGCTCCTGCAGGTTGCACTCGGTCCTCTTGCCTGTCCTCCTGGGAGTTCCCATTCTGAGATGGTAAGTCAGGGTGTGCCATCAGGGGCTGGAGCTCCTGAAGTCAGCAGCATGTTCAGTAATTAATTTCAGAATTACAGTTTGAGTTGTGATAAGTTGAGGTGAAATATGAATATTGACTAACAGTGAAGGTGGTGGCAGAAACACTGGAGGACAGCACGTCAGAACTGGAGCTGCTGGTAATCTTCTGAACTTCCTGACAGTGCAGAGATGTAGCTGTTACTCAGGAGCAAACACACTCTTCCTCCATTTATATATAACAAGGTACACCATAGGTATACATACTGACCACTCGTGAATGTGTTTTGTTTTTCAGTATGATTACTGTTATATTGGTGGCGGTCACGTTTCTGTGCTTCAAAGTCATTCTACATCATTATTAAGTGTGGCCTTTGAAATATCCCCTGAGGGACAATAAATGATTCATTACTGTGTCTGTACCTTTGTTCTATCAAAACATGTAAAAAAAGAAAAATGCAATCTCATATCTTAGGAAATTTTAATATATATCAATGCCTTCTTTCCTTACATGCTCGATTAAATGCAGCCCTTTTAACCCTTTATTTTAAATTTGTATTTAAACTTGAGTGTTACTGGAGGGGATTACAATACTTTTTTTTGCAGTGTCTTTACTTTTGTGTCATGGTCCTGAGTCTGACGACTCAGTGTTTTGTGTTTCTTTATGCTTTTGTTTATCCTGAGTATGTATTCTGTTATGATTTACCGTTTGTTAGGTTTCTGTTCTTTGCTTACCCTGGTCCCACTTCTGTGTTCTGTCTGTTTATGGCGTCACACTGTCTGTTTGTGAATCTGTCTGTTTAGTTAGTTCAGTGTCTTGTCTGGTTCTGTGTCTGAGTTTCCTGTTTTATTCTGAAGGTCCCTGTCTCGTGTGAGTGTGTTCAGATTACGCTTCCCCTGTCCCGTCACCTCTGACTTCTCCCAGGTGTGTTGTCCTCCTGTCTCTCATCCCCTGATTACTGCTGTGTGTATTTAAGCCCTGTGTGTTCTCCTGCCTGTTGCCGGTTCGTCTGTGTTCCACGGTGTCCTGTTCCGCGTCTGCCTCTCTCCCTGTTTCGTGTGTTCTCAGGTTTATTTAGTTTTTTCCAGTTTAGGTTTGTTTAGTTCCTTGTCATCCCTCACTGCCTCTTTGCCACTACACCACCCTGTAAATAAACATCACTCGAATCATCAGTCATCGCCTGCATTTTGGGTCCTCCTTTCCTCCAACACCACACAGCCCGCCTCAGCAGCCGTGACAGTAAGAACACCTGTTCTGACAAACCATCCTACTTTGGCAAAACGTCCTACCGTAAGTAGTTTATGCACATTTCTGCTGTCACAGAGTAATTCTAGCACCAATTTAAGTAGGTATGATGGGTTGCCACTTAACTTTGCCCATCAGAGTATGCTTGTAGCTCATATGCATACAGCCAGAATGGTTTGCCACTTCATTTTGCCCGTCAGAGTATGTGTGTAGCTGTTATTAACAAAGGTAGGATGATTTGCCACTGAATTTCGTGTTGTGCGCATGCGCAGAAACAACAGGTAGGATGGTTTGCCAGGTAGGATGGATTCCCAGAACACCTGGCACAATGGACCCAGCAGCATTCAACCTGCCCGAGGAGCTCCGGGAGGATATTATTTATTCTGTGGACAGTTTAATTAATTTATGGCTGGAGCATGAGGAGAAGGGATTCCGCCAAGCCATAACTAATTGATTGCAGCGACTGGTTTCCGGTCTTACCTGGCTGTTCAGCTCACTCCACCCACTTGTTCAGAATTTCTTTCTGAACGAGCTACACCTTCACCCCCCCTACTGCTCGTCTGAGGATATGCGGTCCGGATTGCCGGATATGGAGTTACCTGGCCCGTTGGAGCAATCTCCGAGGAGGAAGCAACGTTCGCGTCGTAGGTAGGGATGGGTACCGGTATTATCCGGTGCCATGATGGCACCGGTTCTGACATAAATGGTAGTAACCAGACCGAAAACCAGCGCACATTTCGGTGCTTTTTTTTTTTTTTTTGCCTGAGATGTCATACACTTTGGATTCCAGCCAATCATTTTACCTTCGCGAGCGTAGTAGGCGGGCCCAGGTACGTACGTACATTCTTTTAGAGCAGAGCTAAAGATTAAAAATGCCCAAGACGAAGTGGTCAAAGTCTGGCTGTACTTCACAGCAAAAGATTCAAACTTAAGATTAAGGTGATACTGTGCAAAGGAGGTAACTCCTCGAATCTGATGAAACACCTGGCGACGTATAGCATTTTGTTAAAAGCCGAGAAATGCGCCGTATTTGATAGCTTGCTGCGAGACTTCACACTGCGCACGTCTACTGCGTGTGGGTTGCCTGTTATCTGACCCGGAGTTAGCAACATCCCCCCAAAAACCCGAATAGTAGAGTCCTGGCCCCTAGCCCTGCCAGTCTAGCACAAATGATGATCGCAGCAGCAGCCGTTCTTCTCTGCCTGACTAGCTTAATGTTGTTCGTGTGTAATTTACGTTGAGTAGGCTAACCACGTTATTACATTAATGCATGTAAGGTGAACTAGCAAACAGTCGTAGTTACATGCTGCTGACTTCTTGTTTGATGGCAGGTACTCCCTTCACCCTGGCCAAAAAGGCTAAGATGACCAAAGAAAAAGAGGGAAACAGCTAAACATGAGAGGTTTTTGGATAGGTTTTTTTTTTTGTTTTTTTTCCATTGTTGAAGCACTGCTTCCAGCCAAGAGTGATGCCATAAATCCCCTATAGCTGCAGAAAAGGCTAACATTGTTATCTTTTTACAAAAAACAGCTAAACATGAGAGGTTTTTGGACCAATTTTGTGTTCTCCATTCTTTAAGCACCGGTTCGAGCACCGTTTAAGCACCGTTTAAGCACCGTTTCAAAAGTACCGGTTTGGTACTGGTATCAGATAAAACCTAAACGATACCCATCCCTAGTCATAGGCGCCTCACCCCACAGCCGGATGGTGGGACCTCAGAACTGCCGGCTGTGGTGAGTGAGAAAGACACTCTTTCTGTTTCACCAGACTTTGGGACTGTTAATTCTGGGGCTGTGTTTATTCTGTTAGCCGCCCGGCCTGAAGCTCTGTTAGCCGCCTCCACCACATTCAGCCTCACTACCCATAGCTCAGTTACAGTCACAGCCAGACTTACTACAGACTATGCTACAGTCCATAGCCCAGTCTGTAGCTCAGTTGGCAGAAGATCGATAGTATCGATCCCAAGTCGGGATCGGTATCGGATCGATACTAGCCTGGTTAGATCGATTCTTTACTTGGAGTTCTGCTTGTTTGCTATGCTGTGCTTTCGGCAAAAACGAAACACAGCATAGCGCTGACACAGGACTTGCCGCTCCTGTGTCAGCGGAGAGCAGGTACACTTTGCTCCCCCCCCCCCTTTATGTTTCGGTGTTGCGCTGACACGTCACGTGACTTAGACACTTTGGGGGTTATTAAGTTTACATATTAAATATATTTTTACCAATTGTTTTTGTTGTTGAGAATTTTAATTGTAATTTTTGTATTATAGTTTATCAACAGTATTTGTTTTAATTTGTTTACTGGTTTGCCTGCACTTAAGATTAACAAAAAGGAGGGGGAGAAAAAAAAGAGTGCCACCACGGCAGACCCCATGGCATTTTCATGCTTCGCCGCATCATTTATTCTTACAATAATCACACGGTTGCTGTAACAGTACATTCAATGGCTGCAGCTCTCCCGCTGGCAGCCGTACACATCACCACCACACCCCCATTGCCCGCTTCACCCCACCCCACGAGCAGGCGAGGGAATCTGCCCGGATCATCGGTGCCCCGGCCCAGCGACGGGGAAGTGTCCACTCTCGCGGTCGCCCACGCCTCCACCGGAAGCCCGGGAGCTGGCCTGATGGCCACCCATATGGCAAGCAGCGGCGGCGCAGCAGGAGTGGAAGTGAGCCGGGGCTCAGAGGCAGCTGGACAAACAGCCGGCACGCAGGACCATGCAGCCTGCGTGCCGAAGCGGACAGCATGCCGCCCTCAGGCAGGACCCCC